GTGTGTGTGTGTGTGTGTGTGTGTGTGTGTGTGTGTGTGTGTGTATAAATAAATAAATAAAAAAAAATGTAAGATTATGAGGCTGAATTACATGTACGTGCAGCGCGAGTTCAGCAGTCATCAAGATGTGATACTAAAAACGTGAGAGCTCATTTAAAGAAACCCAACACAAAAATCGTGCAACTTTAATTGAACATAAATTACAGTACAGATGTTTTATTTTCAGATCCAGTGTTCTCACTCAGGTCATCTGGACACTTTCTTTTCTTCCTTTTTTTTTTTTTTTTTTTTTTTTTTTTGTTGAGAATATTGGATTTGATACCTGGATGATTGAGCACGAACTTTTTAGTTTCAGATAAGTTCCGTGTACAGTGTGTGCATTGTCTCCCCTCCACCAGCAGGTGGCGGGAATTCACCTGAACGTTGTTGCTGCTAAGAAACCACAGAAGAAGAAGAAGTGTAAACGTTTTCTTCTAAGAAACTCGGTGCGATTTCTTTTAGTCTTTTTCTGGTGTCTGAGGCGTCATTTATTTGAATGGGAGTGACATCGAATTCCTCACACAGCATTTTTTACAAAACAAATATTATTTTTCTATTTTTGCTCGGAGTTTGACTGTCGGCCTGCTTTGTTTTGTGTTTGGGGCCGCCTCTTGAAGCTCTTCCGCCCGCTTCCATGGTTGTCATCGTTCCCATCCTTTCAGCGGGGATAAGGTGAGAGGTTTTCCGAAGGACTGTCCAGTGTTGGCCTGGCATTATGGCTCGAGTGAGCTTAGAAACACGACTCAAAGTGGTGAGCCTCCGCCAGCAGGGTCTCTCCCAGGCGAAGATTTCAAAACAGACGGGCATTTCCAGAGGCGCTGTGCAAGCGCTCCTGCAGAAACACAAAAAAACGGGCCAGATCGAGGACCGTAAACGCAGCGGTCGGCCGCGGAAGCTGAGCGGAGCCGACGAGCAGCACATCACCTCCCTGCGGAGCCGGAAGATGTCCAGCAACGACATCACATCCGAGCTGGCGGTGACCCGGGGCACCCTGGTGGACCCGTCCACCGTCCGGAGGAGTCTGGCCAGAAACGGCCTCACCGGAAGACCTGCAGAGACGAAACAACAAGAATGTGACACAGACACGAAAACAGAAAAAGACAAAAACGGTGACAAATTGGAAAAGGAGCTGAGGACTGATGATGATGGTTGTGAACCAAAAACATTAGACGCGAAGGAGCCAGAGAGCCTCAAGGAGGAGTGTGAGGAGGAAACATGAAGGCTCTGGATTTGGAACAGAAACTTTTGACTCATCTGAGCAGTTTAAATACTCAGTCATGCAGAAACATACAGTCAAAACAACAATACTAGCCAAATAATCCAGCAGTGATCAAGGAGACGGTTTCTTCTTAAAGAAGCATCTCCAAAATTACAAATAAACCTTACATGATCCAAGCAGTTCTATATTAACTGGGCAGATGTTGCATTCATGTCAAACAATGCAGTCACTTAAGTCCAGATGAACCTTTTGCTGTGTTCACTGCAACAAATAAGAGCTTCTGTATTTGCTCTGAACTGAAATAAATCTCTGAAGACCAAAAATAAGTGTCCACAAAACCATTTTCAGCTATTGTTCTTGAAAGGGAACATGTATTGTAATGGAATAATGTTTATTCTTTTACTAAAACTCTTATAAAACTTTGGAATTATCCCAAATAGACCAAAAATATACACAAAGAAGTGTTTTATGTTGAATTACATTTGGAAGAAATCTGTGATGTGACGCAGTAAAACATTACATAAGATCAAATTATCTCCTCGCCTTGTGATTTACAGACCTGTTAACTGTAATTTGACAGTGATGAAAGATAATTTGTTCATGCATCACTTGAACACATGCACCCTGGTGTCAGCTCACAGAATAATGAACAGCCCACGTACTGGAACAACTAAAGTGTGTTTGTCAGCTCCTCGTTTGCCGTGGGCCAGCTGAACGGAGCTGAGATTTGTGGATTTCCACACTTCGGTGCACCTGAAAGTAAAGTTTGTTTTAGTTCAG